GGGATGCTTTAGGGCGGGGCTACACGGTGATTGACAGGTCTCTACCACGGTGTTGACCGTGTTTTCCCCTCACAACTTTAACCCTTTCACATTGTGTTTTCACTTCATCAAAGGTAATTGTGACATCTTGGTCGCCTAAACAATGTGTTATTCAGTATTTATTTTAACTTTAGCTCCTCCTCTAAAGGTCACTTCTGACTGTCCACTCTGACCCGACTGTGTTGGACAGAAAACAGTCATTATTGTGCCATCAGCGGAGACGTTTCTCCTTTAGCTGTGACGTAAACTATTGATCTGTGAGTGAGTCTGTCAGCAATGACAACCCTGAAGTCCTGATGTCACCTTTAGGACCAGTGTGCTTTAGTGCTTCAGTGTTGTATGCATGGCTACATAGTATAGTTTTAGTTTTGTCATTTATTTTTAATATATTTCTTTGTATGTATGAGCCTGTTATAGTTATTTCAGAATGCTGTCTTTACTAAAACAATGAAACTGGGTCACATCACCCCACTGCTGATCACGTGGCTGTGTATCTTTTAGAGTTGATTTTAATTAGTTGTTGATAAAGTTTTAAATGACTTTGCTTCTCCCAACATCAGACATTTTCTTGCATTTTATGTTCCAGTCAGATCACTCAGGTCCTCCACCACTTCTCTTTCTTAATGTTTTTATGCATCTGATAAAATAATAATAGAAATACCTTCTGTTTTAATGTCCTTAAACTGTGGAGCTCGCTGGCTCTGGTTGTTAGAATAACGAGCTCTCTCAGTATTTTTGAAGAGACCTATCTTTTTAATCTGACTTTTTTTTAGCAATTACTTTTATTTGAATTTTTTACTTCATGAAATACAGATTTTGAATTTCATTTCAGAATACATAACCCAACATTCCATTTCAATCTGGAGTAATGTTACAACCTTAGTTTTAAAACTGTAATCACTGTTTTTTTTCTTATCAAAAATGTATTTTATTTTATTTTATTCTATAGAAATTTATTTATTAATTTTAAAGATTTTCTTGATATTTATTTGTATATTTATATAGTGTATTTATTGATGTTTATATTGTTTATTTGTTTTCTATATCAGGTTTGTATGAAAGATTCTACATAAATAAATGAATAATGAATGAATATAAAATATATATAAATGAATTTTAAAAAATAGATGAATAAATATATATAGTTGAACTATATATTATTTGTATTTATTCTATAAACATCTAAATTCCTGCACTTACTTAAACGTTCTGATGCCCCTTGATGATGACGTCTTAATGTAGTTTGATCGATGTAAAAACCAGCCAATCACATCCGCGAAATCGAGTGATAGGCGGGGACTATTAGAGACCGAGTGAGCCAATGAACAAGTGGTGAGCTCCTCATTGGCCAATCAGAAGCTTGGTGCCCACTGGCCGTGTATGAGTCCGGGTGGCCGTGGGTGGCAGTTTATTCCTCCAGAAGCCAGTGTTTTAATACACGGTAAGTACTTTTGACGATATATTATTACACCGTTTATGTTTTTTCCGGTCGGTTATGTCGTATTTAAAACAGGCTAAACAAGCTAATGCTAACCGCTGAATAACGGTTAACGGCACTTCCGTTCGGTTGTGTTGATAAACGGAGAAGAATCACGTGTTTCTGGTGTAAGTGCAGAGAACTGCGTGTCTTTAATTGGATATTAAAATGTCACGTTATTTATTTTAACGTATGTTTAATTAAAATCATGTTGTCTCTGAACATGAAGTTAAATGTTGTTTATCTGAAACACATGGCAGCAGATACACACATGTTAATTAATAACTGTGTTGTTGACATTATTTCATATTAATTGATGAGCTGCATGAGTTTGATTGACCTGATTAAAGGTCATTTATTGAGCGTCTTGCAGTAATAATTTCCATAATTTTGGCTCGTTGTCAGAATCAGTCTTGCTCTTGAAATCTAGTGAAGTTTATTTTATTTTATATCGTTCAATATCACAAATTAAGAATTATAATCCGTCTAACATCAGACTCCCTCTGTTCTTTATGGAAGCCCAACGCTGACAGTAAAATGGAGAAAATAAGTAAATGAAAGTTTAGACTTGTTATGAAAAACAAAGATCCTGTAAGTTATTATAATGATTTAGTAACTCATTGTTTTGAGATGTGTGTGTCAAAAGATGTTAATTCAAACAAGTATTATTAAGTACTATCTGCTAAATTATTAGCCTGATGTATCATCTTGCATGATAATAAAATATAGATATATTATGTGTATCTGTGTGTGTATGTATGTATATACTATATGTATATATATGAATGTGTGTATATATATGTGTATATGCGACATATGTTGATTGTTGAACAGTGAGAAAGAGCTTGAGAAGCAGTGAAACCTTCAGAGAAAGCTAGTAAATCACATTATTTCTGTCAAACACATGTAAAAAGCTCATGCTTGCTTCTCCTCGTCTCTCATTGTGTTTCACGGATCTCTCCGTCTCTTGTTCTTTTCTCTCATCCCTTCATTCCAGATGCAGTTCATGCTTCTGTTCAGTCGGCAGGGGAAGCTCAGGCTGCAGAAGTGGTACGTGCCTCTGTCGGATAAGGAGAAGAAGAAGATCACCAGGGAGTTGGTGCAGACGGTCCTGGCTCGAAAGCCCAAAATGTGCAGCTTCCTGGAGTGGAGAGACCTCAAGGTGGTCTATAAGAGGTGGGTAGGATATGGGGACTTGTTCAGGGAACAAACGGGAGAATCAGGAGAGGAGAGGAGAAGAGAAGAGAGGAGAGGAGAAGAGAGGAGAGAGGAGAGGAGAAGAGAGGAGAGGGGAGAGGAGGGGAGAGGAGAGGAGAGGAGAGGGGAGGGGGGGAGAGGGGAGAGGAGAGGGGGGAGAGGAGAGGAGGGGAGAGGCTGAAAACATGTGAATAGCTTAACTTAATTTATATCACGTAGAGACTCCATGTTTATTCCAACATTGGTAACACTTGTGTCAACTTCTAAAAATGTTGGATGTACAGATTCTATTGTTTGCCAAAAAAACAAACTCAAATGTTTAGTTGAGAGTTTGTCACTGACTGTGTTTACAAATATAGAGTCAGTTTGATCAGATTTTCCTAAAATGTTAATTAGTCTGTGCTCGTTCATATTAATTTTGACGGCCTACATCGTGTTTCTCTTTACGATGTTTTCATCATTTCAAAATATCGCCCTGTCGAGAAAACATTCATATTCAACACTTAATCTAACTTTGTCATCAGGTTGACAAATGCAACATTGACTACTTGTTTACACACAAAATATATTCCAGAATTTTTGCCTTTTATTCCGAAAAAGAGTTTGTGCCGACTAAGCTGTTTCCCCGGCTGATGAAGATTCATTTTAACTTCATGTCCTCCTTTTTAAATGCAGCCGGTAACACTCGTTGGACCGTGTGAACTCAGCCTCCCTCTGTCATTCCTTCAAACAGCTTCTCTAAAGGATAGTTAGTCCTTCATGATGTTTCTCCTTCTTGTATCCAAAGAATGAACCTGAACAACATCAACACACGTTTTACTCTGAACCTTTTCTACGTAGCAAGCGACGCCAGCGAGTTCCCGCCCTGTCGAGTTTCACACTCGTCCCAGTACTTACTGCTGGTCTCACCGGGGTCAGCCGGGTCCATTGTGGCCTCCTTCACCCGCTGGTTGTGAGGGATCAACTGACCAGCTCCTTTATGAGCCAATCATCACATGCCTAAAGAGTGCCTGAGGGATTATCAGGGATAACGAAACCATGAGGCTTAACTCGTAACGGCCTTCTGTGTCCGTCCGGCTTCTGGCTTTAAATGAATCACCGTGAACCGCAGTAAAGAGCTGTGTCAGCACTATTACAGCGAGCCAGGAGACGGTTTATATCACTACCTGATGAGAAAGCATGAAGTCAGCTTCTTGTATTCACTTTGTCAGGTTGATGTTTTGCAGTTTTCATAATTTGAAGATTGTTCGTAGAGATGCAACAACCTGCAGGTTCAGATTTTCTTTCTTTCTCAGAACTTTAATTGACGGCGAACACAAACCTTCTTTTTGCGACTTTTCTTTCATGGAAAATTTACCAAATGTCACCAAACTGCCCCAGAGAGGAGAGGGAGCAGAGCCCAGATGGAAGCTAAGCTAACCCAGCTAGGGCACTGATGCTACTCCACTACCCAGCATGCATCCTGGCTGTCTGGTGGATGAAAGCCAGGATGCATGCTGGGTAGTGGAGTAGCCTCAGCTCCTAGCTGGGTTAGCTTAGCATCCATCTCGGCTCTCCTTGTGTTCGGTCGGCCGAGGCCGGTGATCGTCTCGGGGACCGCTGCAACTTTTTCCAATGTTGAGTGTTTTCAGTCGTGTGCCATAAGTGCTCCAGTAACAAACACACACGAAATGCATCGGTGCCTCTCTAACTGTTTCCTAAATGCTGCTGTGAAGTCAACATCTCTCTCCGTGTTGCAGATACGCCAGCCTGTACTTCTGCTGTGCCATCGAGGACCAGGACAACGAGCTCATCACGCTGGAGATCATCCACCGATACGTGGAGCTGCTGGACAAATACTTTGGCAGTGTGCGTTCTCTAACGTCGGGTATCCGTACGTTTCCCCACCTACTGAACCTGGACTTAAAAAATATTCATAGTTAAGTGTTTCTTTCAGGTTTGTGAGCTGGACATTATTTTCAACTTTGAGAAGGCGTACTTCATCCTGGATGAGTTCCTGCTGGGTGGAGAAGCTCAGGAGACGTCCAAGAAGACGGTGTTGAAGGCCATCGAGCAGGCCGACCTGCTGCAGGAGGTAAGACGACTGCCGGGGACAGTGCGGGGACACAATAGATTTCATACTGAGGACTTAGTCTCTCCATCGTTCTGCTACTGTATTAATAATCGGCCCTCACTCTCCACTGCTAACGTCAACAGTTAGGAGGTTTTTCAGACCAAAGAAATGAATAGAAAGTTAAATGAAGTTTGTTACACAAGCACCGCTTCCTCAAATACAGTTACCATCCTTAAGAATTCAATCCTGGTTACAGCAAGTACGGTTTAATACTTTTTAATCCGTTGCATTTGTCACATTTCTTTTTTTATCCACCTAAGCCAAGCGTAAACACTTTTTTTTGCAATATTTAAACTTTATTTTTCTGGCATTTCCAATCAGTTTCTTTTTTTATTCCCAAATACACGTAACATTAGATGAATGAGAACACTCAGTGCTGCTGCTCCTTAATGTTCCATTACCTGCTGCCATATTCAAATTTGATCCGCTGATGTGAAATGTTGAAACATCAAATATGTAAAAACAATAACATCGCCACCGTATTTGTGCCTCAGCGATGTTATTGTGATGGAGCAGCTTTAGCTTAGCACAGCGAAGCCCTGATTGTTCCAGACTCCATTCAGAAAACACGCATTTTAAAAACTGGTTTGCTTGTCGTCTCGCGGACGGACCTGACAAAGCATGAATTCAGACTTTTTACAAATCAGCGTCATGATTAAGTTATTTCGGCATCATTTGAATCTGTTTATTGCAATTAAATTAAAGCAAAATCCTTTTTCATTTTCGTCTCATAAAGCTGTCGTAAACCAGATTAATTCAGCTGCAGTAAATCATTTTTATAAACAATTATTAACAGTTATGAACACAGACACAATAGCGTTTAAAATATATATATATATATATATATAT